GAAGGAGCAAACGTGACAAAAGTGTGTGGCTCTTTACTCACTCTGCCATAAATATCACTAACGCAATTTGTCCTCTTTTGTTATTCACAGCCACAGGCTGCAGGAGCGTGGAGTTAAATACACCTGAACACGTTTAGAAACGTGGCTGGTGAGGAGCCTGCGTGCTGCTGACCCTGTGCAGAAACACTTCCCATTAGCTGAGCTGGCGCACGAGCAGCAGAGCGGGTCTTTGTGCGGGCTCTGAGCTTCATGCGTCTCTCTCGTCTTTTTGTCTGCTTTATCCTCAGGTGGTGGCAAAGAATGCCCACATGGCAGTTGGCTCGCTCACCATCAACGAGGAGAGGTCAGAGGTCATCGACTTCTCCCGTTCCGTTCATTGAGACGGGGATCAGTGTCATGGTGTCCCGTAGCAACGGAACCGTCTCCCCTTCTGCCTTCCTGGGTGAGACGAAAATCAGCTGCTGCTCACATCACTACAAATACGCAATCAGACGTAGAAATGTGTAGGAATAATGTTTAAACCATCATGACGGGAAACAAAAAGAATCAAATCCTCAGCATTTGTCTTATGTTCATCTTTCCTGTGGATCATGGATGTAATTTTCACTTTAGAAGTGGGGGGACACAGGGGTGTGGGGTGTGTGCGTGTGTGTGTGGGGGTGGGGGTGGGGGTGGGGGGGGGTCTTTACAGCATACTCTAATGGGAAACAGGCTTTTCTGCTTGGTCCTAGAGCTCAACCAGTGTCAATTTAATATAGCGTAATATTGTTTTTGGATGGTTAAAAAGTGCAGGGGGTCAAAACTTAACTTTGGAAAAGTAAGGGGGGGGGGACATGTCCCCCCCTGCCCCCCCCCCCACCCCCACCCCAAAATTACGTCCATGCTGTGGATGTTTTTTGTTGTCCTGCTTCGGAAGGAGGGTGTTAAATCATTCAAATCACTGCATTTATGGCTCCTGTCTCACTCATGGCTATAGCGAATCTGCAAACAACGAACGCAAACACGGTCACACTCACCCCTCCTTTCGGGTATTTTCCCTGAGACGCTTCTACCAGAACCAGAAACCCACAATCCTGGAGGAAACAAGATAGCGCTGTGACTTCAGATGGAGTTTTTCTTTTTAGGACCCTGGTAGTTTGTCCTGAAGTTGAAGCGGTAGCAGCCGGCAGTTTCTCCTTGTCTGATTGAGGGGAGAACCTCACACCAGTAGTTTTCTGGTGCTGCGGGGAAGTGTGGTGGTTTGGTGAAACCGAAAGCCAGATGGTCCAAAGGTTACTTTCAATCCAAAACATGTTATTGACGGAGGTTTTTATACAAATGCGGAGAAAACCACTTTATTATATTTTTTTCTTTATTATTTTTTATCTCATCAACATATTTACAGCTATACTGTGCTAGATTGTTGTTAAGAGGCATGAAGAAAACATTTGGGGGCAGCAGTAGCTCAACAGGTTGAGCGGGTTGTCCAGTATGTTTATGTGCTTAGCAGACGCTTTTACCCAAAGCGACTTACAATTTTTTTTTTATTTTTTTTTTTTTAACCTGTAGGGCATGTTGTGATCTGTGGGGGGAAACCGGAGTACCCGGAGAAAACCCACGCATGCATGGGGAGAACACGCAACTCCACGCAGAAAGGCCGCAGCCGAGTTTCGAACCTGCGACCTTCGTGTTGCGAGGCAACAGTGCTAACCACTGCGCCACCATGCAGCTGTAATCGGAAGGTTGCAGGTTCGATTCCTGGCTCCGGACAGAGAATTCTGCAGTTGTGTCCTTGGGCAAGACACTTAACCCACCTTGCCTGCTGATGGTGGTCGGAGGGACCAGTGGCGCCTGTGCTCGGCAGCCTCGCCTCTGTCAGCGCGCCCCCAGCGCAGCTGTGGCTACATCGTAGCTCATCACCATCGGTGTGTGAATGGGTGTGTGAATTGTGTGTGTGAATGGGTGAATGATACACTGTAGTGTAAAGCGCTTTGGAGTCCTTACTCTGAGAGGCGCTATACAAGTGCGGGTCATCATTTATTTCAGCTAATTTGCTTCCAAATTTGCCGTTGCAGCTTTAAAGTTGGTCCGTTGGGTTTAGTGTTTGTCCTGCAGCTGGACTCACACGATGCGCTCTCCGTTTCAGAACCGTTCAGCGCCGACGTCTGGGTCATGATGTTTGTGATGCTGCTGATAGTGTCGGCCGTGGCCGTCTTCGTGTTTGAGTACGTCAGCCCTGTGGGTTATAACCGCTGTCTGGCAGACGGACGAGGTGAGATAACACACACACACACACACACACACACACACACACACGCACACACACACACACACACACACACACGCACACACACACACACACACACACACACAAAGGCAGGTTAATTCATGCTGCAAAAATGTGGCAATGAGGTACCAATGTCAGGCATTCTGGCGTGTTAAATGGAGACTTGTTGATTTTTTTTCCTTCCCCTTGAATGGATCATTCATACGGAGAACAGGGAGCTAAATGACTTGACAG